AGAGGTTTTTCTGGTCAAACGTAGCTGTCAGGCTTTCGCTTATAGTCATTTCCGGAAACTTGTTAAGAAGCCACACGCAATCCGGTGGAAAGTACCACCACTTCCATCCCGCGCTTGGGTTCGTATGACCTGTGCCGTTGATGTAAGTGGACTCGTCGCTATGTTTCATGAATCTGAACAGCCCAGTACTGGGGCTGACGGAGCCCTCGTATACTCTTCCATGCCGTTTTGTACAGTGTAGTTGGTTGTCATCGCATGGGTCCATGTAAACATCGTATTTGAGAGGTCACTGTCCCACACGGGCGGTTCATCGAACTGTGCGAATATGCTTTCAAGATACGCAATGTCAACCAATTGCTCTTTCAGAATGGCATCGGTGATCCTAGCTTCATACGTGTTGACCGTTGGGAAGAGTGTATAATTGACAGCCCTCCAATCTGTATCGCGATTGGAAGACCTGAAAAGAAAGTACATCGTGGTCAAGCCGGATGGGGTGAGTGAGGTCCAGGAGCGAACGACTGGTTCTCCACCATTCTCTCGTGACCATTCCAAGCTATTGTCGTCTTCATAATCCAGCGCCAGATATGCCGTAGTCCAATTGTCTCTTGTCGAATAGGTCTCATTCACTATGCGAATGTTTGAGGTAATGTTGGTACAGAAGTGACCGAAAGCCAAGGTTGAGAATGATGCACTGCCCTTATCTGAGAAAGTGCAGTTGCCGCTACTACAGCCAGAAGAGAGTGTATTGGTCAGATCTCCGACAGGTTGAAGTATGCCGACGCTGATCGCTGCTGCCATCGGGACATATTCTGTGGGCACGTTGGACTGCATTGTACCTCCGACCTGGTTGTAAGAGTTGGTTCTCGATAGCCTGACCGACGCGGCTGTGTCTTGCTGAAGACAATCCTGGGATTGCACGAGCTGTTGCGAAAAGAAGCCGAGCAGGGACGACATGATCGTGATAGCGGCGCCAAGTGCAGCGAGGTAACTGCATACAATTAGTCTTGTCTAAGGCAGGGCTAATCGCAGGGTGGGTACTATATTTGTGATGGTCTCAAGTGGTACAGCAAATTGATAGAGCCCCATGGGCCACGGCTCGCTGAATCGAGTTGTCCGATGTGATCCAATTTCCTGACCTTTCGATACCAGTTCCACTTGCACTGACTGATCCTTGTCGCCGAAGTCAGCTTGTATGCTCTCTTAAGTTTAGATCGCAAGCTACCATCTGTCAATATTACACCCACGCATGCCCTCATGAGAAGGGAAAATAGCGATATGATAAAGTTTATCGTGACCAGCCAGGCCATTGGGGGAGCGGTTTATTCCGATGGGCCAGAAGTGTCGAAACAAGTCCGGCAAGCGTTAGGGTTGAGGCGATTAGACTCAATGTCTCCAAGGTCCAGCTCTTATTCCAACCACGGCTCACGGCCTCGACACAGCGCTTCCATGCAAGGCACACGCGAGCTATCGCTGTTCGAAATATGTTCTTCGCCTGCGCAGCGAAGTTCTTGTTCTTCTGACTCCCAGCCTTCTGAAGCTTCGGCGCTGTATTTGATGGCGCATTGCTAGCACTCACTGAACCACTCTGAACGGTGGAACTGGGCTCGTCGATTGTTTTGCTGACTTTGGACTTGAGAAGTGGCCGTGCCGATAGTTCGGCCAACTCTACTGACTGAGAGGTCGAAGCCATGCTGACTGCGTACACACGCGTGTGATAGATGCCTTATGTACTATCATCATTGTAAGCTGACCTCACAATGTCAGACGTGTGCGACTGGGCGCAAGGCTGACTTTGCTCGCGAATACCCTATTGGTCGCCGCAGCGCGCGATAAGAATGTGTATAATGCTGGGTAACTGAGAGCAAGGCTGTGGTTGGTTTTCATAGGCTCAATTTATCCACTTGGAAGCACAGCCTTCGCAATGAACGCAAGCAGCATCAGTCGTGAACCCAGAATCTGCCTGTTAGCTTCTTCTCGCTCTTGTGATTGGTTGCAACTTTATCAATTCTATGGTCCCCATAGTCGAGATAGGTTTGCTATACTACTACATCTGAATCACGAAAGCACAATATCACGGGCACATATCGATCGCTTGGCGTCTAGGACTGGTTTCTTTTACCAGGTAGACCATCCACATTTGATAGCCCGCTGCCATGGTCCGTTCGTGACATTGCTTGTAGGACCGTGTGACGTAAGTTCCATCTGTTCCCCGATGGGTATGATGAGAGAATCTTGCGTATCGCGTATGGGTTTCAGAGTGATGTGAACTGGTGGAAGAATCTCAGGTTCATCGTCCCCAAGATCTCCCTCCACGATCGAACTATACACGTCTTGTGGTATAGGGTCGAAGCAGATAGAACAGGCACGCTGTTCATCTTTGGTCCAGTCAGGCCCATGGTAGCTGAAGATAAGACCACGGTAATAGTCGAGGGCAGGATCGTCGATGTAACTGGGTACTAAGCCAGGTAGATTATCTGCGCTAGTTTTACGGCTGGTCGTGGGTGAGGACTCAATTGCTTCGATTTGACGCGTATAGTCGCCTCGGCTGCGCTTCTCCTCGCGATAATGAGCAATGCAAGCCTTGTTAGCGACTTTTGCATTTGGAACATGCAAAAACACCAACTCCAAACGGAAGGGGCAATGATCGGGCGAGCAGCCTTCTCGGATAGCTTTGAAGAGCTGGACAGGCTGAACGTTTTCCGGGTTGACGTCTGGGTGGGTGAAGTACATAGTGAAACTGTAAAGCGGTGGTAGAGGACATGATTCTAGGCCTTGGAATACCATGAGACCGTCTTCCCTGAAGTGAAGGACGTGGATTTTGGCGCGTTCGATGCAGCTGACTATGCGGCCGCCGCGAGTGATCATGATGACGGTATTTTGACAAGAGCAAAGGGTGGCGTTCGATGATGGGTCGTAAGAAGCACTGATGGCTAGCGTGCGTAGAAGGGGATCCTTTATTCCTTCGGGCGGGCATTACTGCGCGCGCCAAGTGCGGATTAAGTTGGACTTTAGCGCTATGACACTTACGCAACAAGCATTGACTAGACAGCTTCTTATGACAAAGCCCTTTTCGCGTGCTTAAGCCTATGTCTGAATGAATGCGATATGATACATGCTATCGAAGCAGATGCATACATAACCTCTACTAGGTGCTGGTGGGGTGTAATGGCTTAACTGTGGAAACGACAGTCTCGCACTAGTGGGTAATTCGGGATTCTGTGGTCGGCGCGCACGTCCGGCTTGTCGCCCAAGGCCTCTGAACCAAGACAGAGCTTCCGCTCCAGCAGCGACTACCGCCCGGATCAATCACGATGTCCTCCCAAACCTATATACCATGTTTCGGACATGAACATATTGACCACGCGATACACATACCCCCCGAAATCCGCTTCCAATGAGCTGCACGACAAGTCGACATATACGCTCCCCAGCAGTCACGTCTACATTAGCACCCGTGCAAGCCTTGCTGCAATCGTACCGCATCGCCAATCTACCATTGTATACTCAGCACCTCTCGAACAAGCCCGTAAAATCGCCCGATCGCGCGTTACAATCCCGTTTATCACCATGCGACTGCCTGCATCACAATTAGGGGCCGAGACACAATATGTTGGTATTGGGTCGACATGATCAAGTCCACCAGGATAAGTCCCTGCGAGAGCGACGCTGCGGAGCCGACACCACGACTTCCAAGGTTGCTTTGAGGTGCGCTCAGTACCCTGCGCGTTGGGTTGAGGCTGGAAGCGAAGTTGATCGCGGCGAGGCGCGCATACGGCACATGCGCGAGCGCCTATGGCATCAGCTCATCGCAGCGGTACTCAATCGTAGGCATGAAGCTCAGCCATGTCAAACTTGCGAGTTCCCTGGATGCACATAGTTCTGGTGGTTGGCCGCACGCATGCGTCGACCCGAGCGCTGCGCATCTGTCACAAGGACCGATAGTACAAGGTTCCGAGACTCATTCGACATCGATGCGTTGTCTGAAATGGTACTCAGGAACAGTGCTCAAGTGAGGGCTTCGAAGGGTTTTCAGCGATATCACTCTGCCTCACCCTTCGCTGACCTTCGCAGTCGCTGAATGAGGCTCCATATGTTGTCATGTTGACTTTCGGCATGGTATTTCAAGAGCGTACTTGATGGGTGATAGACACTACGACTTCCCGGGCTACCTAGAAGAGTCCTCCTTCATGATCCACTCCTCACTAGTCGCATCATTGGTGACAACGCCCGGCGAATCATAACCATCGCGCAACTTGTCATCTCTGTTCACTGAGATACCAGACCCAGACACGGTGCCGATGCTAGCTTGTGGCACCTCCTTTCCACCTGCAGTCCAAGCGCGGGCGCTTCCCGCATGTTTCGCATCCGTGAACTCGTAATCTTCCTCACGACCCGACGGCTTACCTGCGCCTATCCTGAATCGGTTGCCATTTCCAAATCGAAAGGGAGACTTGCGCCAGGATGCTCCGCCAGAACTCGCTGCGTTGCCGCTGTGTGCCGCCGATGGCCCAGCAAAGATTCCAGGAGCCATCATTGCTAGGAACGGACGGAGACAAGGTAGACAGCCGCTCATGATACCAACGTTGAACTCGATGCACAATGCCATAGTGACGCGAGACGCAACCCCTGCGAGAAGGCTATGTTAGCACGATGACAGTCTATTGTGGAACGGTACTGCCCACATGTCGTGTCCCATGTCTTGAAGTAATCCTGCGACCAAACGACCTTCAAGATGCCACCGACGCATGTCAGGACACCGAAAGAGAAAACCGCGACCAGATGCACGCGTTGAGACAGCGGTAACTTGACCTGCCACAGTGGCGCGACTGGCCAAAGGAACACCACAAAGTCCGACACTACATTGCAGATGCCGCTCGCGGTGAGTAATTGATGCGAGTCCAAACATACTTTGTCGATAATCGTAAAATCCCAGAGTGACTGGATCGGACTGGAACAGAAGATTTTAGTCGGGATCAAACATCTGCCCTAGGGTTCATGACCTACACGCATTGCAGAATGTAGAGTGCCGACGAGATGACACCCCACAGAAGCTGGTACCCAATCATCGTCCAACAGAACAATTTGTTCGTTCTCGAGGGGAAAAGCTTCAGGTACGTCATACAGACGGAAAGCTTTGTGAGTGTCATAGAAGCATTGTACATTGTGACACTCGCAACGTTGTACTAGAAGCCATCAGTATGTATGTTGAGACGATTGGTAATTGCATACCTTTGCAGAGCTCACAAACGTCATCGGGTTCACATCATAGAGATGACGCCCAAGAGAGTTGGTGGTTGTAACTAATAAGCACACAGAAATCGCTAAGGCGAAGACCTATACATGTTAGATACGTAGCATAAGAGCATAGGGCAAACATACCGCTGCGCCAACCATAATCCAGTCATCGGCTCCTACACCTGACTTCTGGTTCGCCCGAACGTAGATTCTGCCAGCGACGAAGAGCACCATTGGGATGGTTGTCGCGTATATTGCAGCTTCGACACTGCCCCTTTGCGAGACTGGGTCGACATAGTTGGGTATTGGCCATGTTGCGATGATGGCTGGCGTGAGCGCGGTTCCAGAAGCCATAACAACGCCGGGATCAAGGTTCGTGATATGGGTATGTTTGGACTTGTAGTGCCAGAATGTTTGGTTTGTATCACAAACTCAGAGGCCACGCGCACGGCATGTACACAGGAGTGTCGAGGTTCCAAGACAAACCCCGGACTGAAGAGACAGTGAAGACTAAGTATCCCAGTGCAAGGTGGTGCTGACATTGATTTCAGAACGCTTGCGGGTTCGGGTGTGTGGCTCAACCTTGCTCAACACGTCGTGACTGACACCGGATCTGACTCCGCCGTTAGACAGCGTACCACCAACGCCAGTTCATTAGTGCACGCCATCGTGCCCAGTACGCGAAAGTAACCGTCGAGTCGCCAATCAATTTACCGTAATAGACGATCAGGCCTCCTCTTTGCACCGGTTTCAAGTTTACGGGCTTTTGCATGATTGCCATCTAACCACGTTATCAGTAGATCAGTGCGTCAGCGATCGGCTTGTGGGTAGTGTATATACTTGCAGCAACTACTGCAACTAGTGTCCCCTTTTCGAGAACTGTTCGGAGCATTTAGTCTGTGGGGGGATGTACCTGGCAAAGCATGATACATTTTCATTTGTGAGAGTCGAGTCTTCGTCATATCATACGTATGCAGCAGTACAAGCAACGAAGAATAGAGCGCACCAATTTCTATAATGTAACAGGTCTCCTCGACAACCACCAAACAATGTAGTCAAAACATGTGCATCTACCTAGGCATGCTTGCAGCCGGTTGCACTCATCTCTCGCGCCACGTCGTCCAGATATCATCGAGATGCGGCCTCGCCAATCGGACTCGGGGCCGTGAGCGTGTGGATATGCGTGAAATCTCCGTTCCACGGTCCTGTGCACCTTAAAAGCCCGCTGTCTAGGCTGGTACCTGACGCTAACTCACCTGAAACACATGCGGGTCATCTAAGCCGCCACAAGTCGAAGCACGCAAACGAGCTGTATGACATGCTCTTGGGACTGTCCACCACGTTTATCGCGTGCGAAGGAGCTCCCCGTAGTCGCATGGTCACCAAGTTCGTGCCCGTGATGGAGCACTGCGATAGGAACCTAGGTGTCATTGGCCTCTGGGTGAATTCGACTGCTCGCATTCCCTGCCCAGGTGATCAAGCCTAGCAACTTACAACCCACTCGCAACATCCGTCTACGAGTCAAGAAGCGCGCGATTTCGGCATGAAAACCTGGTAACGCGCAAAATGCTCATCGCGCATGATGGCTACCTGGTGGCTGGGTGCAACGCCCCCGCTCCCGCAATTCCCGCGGCGTTCTTTCCGATTGGGTCGCATACAAGTTTGCGTTTTCCACGGTCTGTATGTACTATTACCTAGTCGCCGACATGCTGGATGATAATATCCCTTTGCGACCCCCGCAGTCACGATGGTAGGCAACGAGGCGTTGGTATGGGGGGCCTTGGGCCGTCAACCCTGTGCAGGCTGTGCTGCCTCGCGAAGTTACATCCTCAAATTGTTATTAAACATTAAGATAGGCTGCTAAGCTTCTCTAACAAACATTTTACACCTACTATACACACCGTGTAGGTCTTTAAAGAAGTTTTTATACTAAGTGGCACAGCTAAGAACACTAAGATGACGAAAGAACACGATGCGTTCAAGGCCGTCGAACAGCAGGCCACCGCTAGCATGACTCAACATCAAGATAGGCCGCTTGCGATCTACGTACACCTTAGGTATCACCGCATGAGCAGCAAAACTTAGGTACCTACTGAGCACTTTCGCCGAAAGATACATATCCAAGGCTACAGGAGTCTCAGGCGATCTCGTGTACACCTGATATGGAACAAGCGCAGTGTAACACTTCACCAGCTGAAATGACCATTTGCCGCTGCGGTTCACTGATAGCGATCCTTGATTAATAGTGTGTAGCAAAGAAGACGTCCAACGTACGATGAAAGGTTTCGAAGCTGTCGACCCAGATTTGAGCTACGTCAACCATGCTGCGCAGTTGAAGCTACCTGCTTGTACTTCTTCCAAGCGACTCTTTTTGATACCATCCAGGGAACCCCTACATGCCATAAACCCACCGACCACCGTTCAACGCGTACTGTCATTCTTACTTAGAACGTCCACCTTCCGTCCAAAAGCAGCCCCGTTGCTGATGCCTGTGCCCTTTTGCCGCGTCTCTTCCGCATCCTCCAGTTCCACACCGTTGAAAACATACGACCCCATACAAACAACAAAGCCTGCCAGTTTGAGAGACACTCCCTGCACCGTGCGAAAGTGAATATGTAACATCGTATCCCAATCCGCAGGATCAATATGCGTCCAATGCAAGCGCAGTGATCGCGTAAGAACGTGGATGCCGAGAACGACGAGAGACAGACCAGGTATATAAGCGTAGCGCCACGGAATTAGCTTAGCGATGCTTTGGAGGACCGTATTTGTGCGCTGTTCAGAATCGGTCATGACTCTCATATCCGGCAACTGTAGGTCCCTGAAGACGAGCCAGATCACACAGAGATGGGCGCCGGCATGAGATACGAAGTACCCAAACACGAGGACGAGCCAGATCAAGAACTTGTAGTATCCGCCTGGGTCCTGGTGCGTGAACACCGTGTGCAATGCGTGGCCGAAAGTGAAGAAACCGAGTAGCAGGATGTACAGGCCGGGTATGTAGAGGTAGCGGAAGGGAATGCGATAGAGGACTTGGAACGTTACATTGTTTGTTGTTGAGGTGTCGTTCATCTTCAGACGCGTGTAGATGTGTTGTAGATGCGTGGTAGATGTGTCGTGTATTCTGGTGGATAGTCGCCCCTCCGGATGAGACGGCACACTGATCCGAGGAACTCACGCGAACTGTGCCGCATAACCTCGTTGAAGAGGATGTGTAGTATGACAAACTGCGACTGAAGGCACGTCTTGCAAGCTAACCGGTAAGACGCTATCAATTGATTTATTCTGCGCCCGATTGTAACTACCACCTGACACAGTCAATGCGACTCAGCTCACTGAACGATGTGGCGACCAGTCTCACGAATGCAAGATTCTCAGTCAGCCTGAGGTCTCTGCAGTCACCAGCAAGCAGTCAATATGAGAATCCACAACCCGACTTATTCGATCTCAACACCACTGCTATGCGTTGATCAACCCCGGTACAAAGATGGCTGGGGTCGGGATGATCTAGCGGCACTGCGCACTTGCTCTTCCCATTCAGCACAACATCTTTGGAGGTTGGAAGCAGGGGTACAATCACGCAGCCTTGCTTCTCGAACTGGTCAGCGAAAGTTCGAATTAGGAATGGATAATGGAAAGTCCAAGTTTGGTAGCGATGAAGTGCAAGATGCTCAACTAGGATGGAAATTCGATTGTTTAGAGGCCGAGCTCATTTCTGACGACACTCTCATAATCGTAGTATGTTGAGCCCAATGAATGGTAATAGGACACCAAACGAGTTGCCCGTAATGATCTGCACTCATATGAAGTGCAGTGACTCGCTTCTAGATGAAAGCCTTCTGAAGCTCCTCGTTCCGTCGATCACGGTGTTTGTAGCGGTCTCCCTCGCGTTCCCTACTCTTACTATGAGCTCGTCGCTTGTCGCTGCGATGCGAAGACCTATGCTCGTGCCTGTCACGGCTACGACTCGGGCTCCTATGGCGATGCTTCTGGCGCGAGGATGAGCAGGCCTCCTTCTTGGGTGTCTGATGCTCGTCGTCGTCCGCCTCCCGCCTCTTCCTTTTGAGATGTCGACTCCTCCTCTCCTCCCGCTCTTGGGCTGACCGTAGCTCCATTAGCTCACGGTCGCGTTCTGCAGCCCATTGCTTCCTATCCTGCTTCGACTTCTTCAGCTGTGTCTGTGCTTTTTGCATGAATGCGAAAGGGTCGTTCGTCGATATGCGCGCCTGCTCCCGTTCTTTGCGACGCGGGTCTTCGTTTCCCCAGACGTTTTTGTTTGTGAAGCCTTCATAGAGTGCCACATCTTGCTTCTCGCCTGTGGTGGGTGCAGGCTTTTGTACGGCAGCGTACCAGGGTCGGTCGATACCACCCCTTCCTGCTGCATTGGAGAAGCGCATTGTGAATTGGTCTTCGATGGCCTTTTCTTTCCTGCGTTTCTCCTTCTCTGCGTCCGCATTCCTCCCACGCTTGATGGCCTCTTTCATGTCCACCGGGAACAAGTCAATGTGGCCGGTGTGGTCCTCCAACGGGGCATCGGATGCGGTGCTCCGTAGCTTCAGCACTTTCGGGTCTTTTGCCTCTTCCTCAGGCCGAGCCGTGATGGACTTGGCCATGCGTATATCAGCGTCGGTATCATCCTCACCCGCAAGCCTCCTCCTCTTTCTGTCATGACCGCGATCATCCGTGTTGCCTGAGCGCCTTGATGACGGCGCCTTTGTGGGTTCTTCTGCTGGCAATGGTGGGGGCGTCCGGCCTCGAAGGATGGCGGCGCGTCGCTCAGCATCGAGTTCTTGCTTGCGCTGGTCATCAGCGGCTTCGCGGGCAGCAGCGGCGGCCTCGTCGGCCTTGACCCGCGCGATGTTGTCCGAGTTGTAGACGTTCCATGACTTCTTGCCTAGCAGATGCCTGTGAGATTGTAAGCGACTGTGATGTGAAAAGTGTGGTGACGCGATACTTACAGAGGCATGGTGATAGACCTCAGGGACACAAGATCAGAGAGTGAAGTGTGCCGCACATGGTCGGACTGGCGAGCTTCTTAACTGTGGGCAGCGAGGTCGGGCGCGGAAACATCGCGGTACCCGTCGACGCGAACGGGAGCTGCCTTGCATTAGCGTCAAGCGGGGAGGCAAGCGCAAACCATGGTGCCTGCCTTCACCCCAGCTCCCCCACACTGCTATTGGCATAGACCAAAAAGGCGACTGGGGCTTTTTCCCAGATTCATCGCGTTCACGGTG